CCCAGTATGGCCAGCTTAACACTACCCGCTGTGCAGATGAACAATGCTGCTGTCCAAGAGTATCTCCGTTGCTCCTTCATCCAGGCTGGAGACAACCAAAGACAAGAAGTGTGTTATTATCCAGGTCACCAGATGAAAGTAAAGGAAAAAAAGCCTAGAAAAAGAAAAACTAATGCAACCACTGCATATAAGGACTAGTAAATTGCAATAAATTGTTACTACTTTCATGAGTCGTGCTATCAATTAGTATAATAAAGTTTACAGGTTGTAACAGGTACATGGTTTATAATCATGTTAGTATACGGGTCAACACAATAGCATATAGTGGAATACAGAAAAGCAAGTATTCAACAAAAGATACAACCAAGACATAATAATACAGTCAAAACTGTTAGGTAAGCACATGAAAATAGAATATCTGATACAATATTACATTATCAGAGATATACAATAGTGTATTAATGTTTCAGTTAGTAAAGTGATTAATTATATTCTTAGTTTTTATCCTGATGTAGCACTACCCCCTTAGGAGTTGTTGAGTTTTGGGTCCCCATATAGTTCTGCACAGCCAGGCAATATCCATTTTCTTCCACGCTTGCACTCTGGAGACAGTAATCAGTCCTTGAGCTTGTTTTTTTTTTATATTATTAAGGGGTATTGGACTTGGATGGGGTTGAGGGGTGTATGGGATGCTCAAGGAACTGTGAACAGGAGGACAAATTTCCTTAGCAACTATGTACAAGTCTATAGACAAACAGTCTCTCCTCTGGGGAGCTCTCCAGCCCTCTTCTTCACCCAGCTGCCTGAGGGAATCCCTGGGCAAGGGACTCATAAATGTCACTTGGTAAAGCAACCCCAGATGAGGAGCTAGTTGGGTTTTCCATGTGACTGCCCTCTTTCCTTATCTGGCTCAGGGTGTGTGGGATTACTCACTCAGTCTTCTCCTATAAGCTTGTAAGTTGGGTCTGACTTCAGTCCTTATGTTGGGCTGGCTCCTTCCCTGCTTCCCAGGCTGTCCTCTCTCAGGGGATGGTTGAGGTTGAGAGATTCTCCTTCCCAGCTCTTACCTGAAGGTAGACCCCTCCCTGGGCCCCCTCCCAGGCTCCACACTCCAGCCTTCTCACGTAATTTTCCACCAGACACTGACCACTTCCTGATCAGCCACTTCCATACTTAAGGGCTGCCCTGAGACCCATGCCAAGCCTCCTGCCTGGGGATTGGTCAGAGCCCCCTGAGTATGCAGATCAGCCCCTCCTCACCCCTACCCACTGCCTTCTAGAAACTTCTCAAGCTTCTAGAGCAGGGGCAGGTATCAGGGAACTAACCTGCAGAGTCATAAGCCTAACCTGAAGTTACCTGGCTGACTTATCCCAGGCTGACTCATACCAAGCTTCTATCCAGTCTCTAACTAAAAACCTATATAGGTCCCCCTAGATAACTAGAGGGGCTCAATGCTGAGTATATGCAACCTTAGCATGGTGCTTTTGGTTGAAAACCACTCCAAATGTACTGTATACATACATTGACCTAATCTGCTTCCAAAAATGCCATAAACTGGCCGCGTGGATGGTAGAAGGATAGTATAGGGAGTTATCGAGAGCAGGTCTCTTGGCAGTTAGGAGCCTGATAAATGCATATACAAAGATACAAGGGATTGCCATGTGTTGCTTCTGTAAAGGGCTTAGTCATAGAGCTCTGAGAAGGTGAAACATGGATGCGATTATTTAAATAAAAGTTTCCAGCTAGCAAAAATATATTGTTTTTTTTGGTAATTCCCCTGTTTTCTACAAAATGAAAGTACATTGCATATTGTTATTAAAATGGGATTCTAAGGCAGGGGCAACATTTTACCCTTCCATTCAATGGAGATCACCAGGCTTGGTTAGGGTCTGCCTAGAAAGTTCAAAGACTGCCATATTACAAACTGACAAGGATCCAAATATTTCTCAGTTTTATTCCCTCACCAAAGTTTTGTTACTTTTTAGATGACATTAAACAACCCTACAAAAAGGTGGAACAATATTAGCAGCATTATAACAGATATTTGCATTAATATATTTATCAAACCACATGAAGGAGGTCTGGAATTGTGGTGGCTTTGCTCAAAAAGGCAGTATAAAGGACTAGTCACCATAATTGACTATAGGAATCTATGAAGCTTATATCTTCTCCATTACTGGTATACCATGCCTTGGTGTACTGTGTCCGTGTGTGGAGGTGACTGTCTTAATAGAGATGGGGCTTTGCCTGCTCATGCCAAAGTTGCTCTCCTATGACTGTTGACTTGATGACTGGCAGGGGAATATACAGAAAGAAGAAGTGAAAAAAACCTAGATCCACAGTTTGGATAAGCAGAAGCAGGGAGATCCTTGCACTGCGGGTACTCAGGTATAGAATTCCCTCCAGCAAGGAGAACAGTGATCAGCACAGTAATGCTATCTCCAAATCTCTAATAATATGAAAATAGCAGGGAGATTTCAGGATGAATTAAAATGAAAGGTAAATCATGCATAGTACTGCTTAAAGAATAATTCCAGGCAATGGCGTGTTATAAGTAATTACATTGATTCAGCTTGGATCAGTGCAATGATTATTAATATTATACAGGATTTATATAGTGCCAACAGTTTGCTCAGCGCTTTACAATATAACGGGAGACAATACAGCAACAATACAATTCAATACAAGAGGGTTAGGAGGGCCCTGATCCTTGGAGCTTACAATCTAATAATGTTTATATACCATACCTGGCTGATGTCCCTGTAAACTGGAAATCACTGAAGTAAATATCGTTACTCCAGTGACCTCCATTAGCTTCTGGGTCTAGTGCTGAGTGGCTGACCTGATGCATTGTGAATAAAGGAGTTCAGCTGATCAGCACGGGTACCATATAAAGAATGCTTTGCATTTTTATGAATGAATGCAAATAATTCTCTGATTGGACAAGGTGGAGAGGCAGGGCAGTGATGTCATGCTCTCCTACTCATCCAATCAGGTAATGCTTTGCATTCATTCAGAAAATGCAAAGCATTTTCTGAATAGATAATGCGCTGATCAGCCAACCTCCTATCTTCACAATGCATCAGGGTATGGGTTTCCGGAAGAAAGGGGAGATCACTGAAGTAGTGGTCCAGCTTCCAGGTGGATTGACCAGGTATGGTATATACATAGTTACATTGACCCAGGATGGACCGGTAAAACTGTGCATAACATGCTGGTGCCTAGAACTGCTCTTTAAAGTGGTTCTAAAGGCAGGTGGTTTTTTCACCTTAATACATTCTATGCATTAATGTAGAAACAATTGAGTACTGTCCGTGATACTTTTTTTATTTGCACTAACATACAATTTTGAGGACAAGCTTTCGGGGTATGTCCCCTTCTTCAAGGTCCGAGCAGTACTATTACAATGTGTTAGCAAAAAATGAACATTCTGCTAAAACATTGTAATAGTACTGCTCAGACCTTGAAGAAGGGGACATACCCCGAAAGCTTGTCCTCAAAATTGTATGTTAGTGCAAATAAAAAAAGATTTATGGACAGTACTCAATTGTTTCTGTCGCAAATGCACTAATACGGCTACAATCACCTTATGCATTAAGGTAAAAATCCTTCTGCATGCAGCCCCCCAGCTCCACCTTATGCTCACCTGAGCCTGATCTCGATCCAATGATGTGCACTAGAGTAAAAGGTCTCTCAACTCTCTCTTTCCTCATTGGTTTAGACACAGCAGCAGGAGCTATTGACTCCCACTGCTGTCAATCAAAGCCAGTGAGGAGGAAAGCAGGGGGCAGGACTAAACCGTGCTCTGTGTGTCTTTTGGACACACAGAGCTGGCTCAGGAGTGAGCACACATGAGTGTCCCCATAGCAAGTGGCAGGCAAGCAGGGGGAGGAGCCAGGAGTGCCAGCGGAGGATCCGAAAATAGGAAGATCAAGGCTGCTCTGTGTAAAACAATTACATAGAGCAGGTAAGTATGTCAGGTTTGTTTGTTTTTTTTCTTAAAAACAATGCTCCTTTACAATCACGTCAAGCACAGTTACCATTTTTATATGTTCTCTATATGACAGCCAATCTTCGCCTTTTAAGTTCTGGTCCACTTTAATAATTTTAATTTTTACACTCAAAATGCTTTATATTTTACTGTAAATAAAGTTGAAAAATTCTCTAGTGACATACATATATATGATGTGAATCAGATCAACCAAACCATCCATGTTAATGCAACAAATCAAATGTTTTTCCTAGGACATCTGATCTACAATCTTTCCTGTGTGTGAACATCATGTTATTTCAATATAAAATGCATATATCACAGAGGCCAAAGTCAAGAGCTGGATGACAAAACAATTCATTGAGAGCAAAAATTTAAGAGACACGATCTTTCCTTTGAATGTAGAAACTAATCCCTAAAGAGAAGTAAAAAATTCTAGTTTGCTGTAGAATATCCTGAAAAGTGTGATAATAATCTAATAAATGTGGTCTAGAGAACCTTGACAGGTCTACGGTATCCGCCAAAGTCAGCAAACCTCCCTTCCCAATGAAAATAAGGGAGCTCAAGCCTCAAGGACATTGCACTCACAAGTCATGTGACAGTGGAACTCTTAAGCCATGACCTTCACTACTGCCGCTTTGAGTGGACATCAAACACAAAAGAAAATATATCAGTGTTAAAAATAATAACATTATCAGCCAGCGCATAGCATTTAAGAGCTGAAGTTGCTTCAGTTCGTGTCACAGCTTCTGATAAAAAAATGTTTTTATTGTAGAACAAAAAATATTAAAGAGAAAGGCTATGTCACTAATACAGGCAAATAAAATTCCAGCTTTCACGTCTCTAAAGTAGATTAGATATGGTGTGAAGATCATGGCTGATGTGATTAGCACATAATATCTATCTAAGGAGCAGTATGCAAGGTAGAACCTTTTAAGGGGTCAGTTTACTCAACCATTTATGTGTCAGAACTTGTTGCCCAATTCTATCGCTAAAACAACGACAATATCCCCATTGAATGGGGTATATACATTGCAATATAGCAATACTAATCAAAATCATTTTTAGCGTCCTGGCTAGTTTTCATTCAGTCCTAACCAGGGGCGGACTAACAACTCATGGGGCTCCCGGGCAATAGGGGATCATGGGGCCCCCGTGTCCTTGCCCAAACTCAAAAAAGCCTATGAAAAAGGTACCAGAGGCATCTCATGGGGCCCCCTACTGACCCCAGGCCCTCGGGCAGTGCCTGAGTTTCCAAATGGTCAGTCCACCCCTGGTCATGTTGATCCCCTGCAGGGGCGGACTAACAACTCATGGGGCCCCCGGGCAATAGGGGATCATGGGGCCCCTGTGTCCTTGCCCAAACTCAAAAAAGCCTATGAAAAAGGTATCAGGGGCATCTCATGGGGCGCCCTACTGACTCCGGGCCCTCGGACAGTGCCGAGTTTCCAAATGGTCAGTCCGCCCCTGCCACTGTGTAAAAAGCCTTAGAGAAGTGACTTATGTCTACAAGCAAGCCTTCAAGTTTAAATAAACTGTGAAAACACTATAAAAAAAATGGTCAGTCCCCCCTGTTCCTAACCTTACTGCTATATTGAGTCTCCCCTGGTCTGTACCAATCACGAACCCACTATCTTGACAGTCTCCCAATGTCTTTTAATTTAGACCTCCAGTCTGATCAACAGCCTGTTCTTTCTAGCACATACAGTATAGGCTTGAAAACCACTCTCATTAGTGGATTTACTAAAGGCAAATAGACGGTGCACTCTACAAATGCATTTAAACCCATTTTGCTTAGTAAATGTAAATGTGGTAAAGCTTCACTTTGTAAAGAATACGCAATCAAATGCAAGGAACTTTAAAAAAAAAAAGGATTTTGCTTGCACATAACTGACTGAAGGGGATCAGCAGAGCTTTACCACATTAACTACGCTATGGGAAAAATGAGTGCAACTGCACTTACAAAGTGCAAAGTCTAGTCTAACAATAACATATAAAACCATGTTTAACTTTGCCCCCAATTACATCACCAATCTTGTCTCCAAATATCACCCAAACCGTCCTCTCCGCTCCTCCCATGACCTCCTGCTCTCTAGCTTCCTTGTCTCCCATGCTCGTCTCCAGGACTTCTCCAGAGCCTCCCTCAACCTCTAGAACTCTCTACCACTATCGCCTACTCTGCCCACTTTTTGGCGATCTCTGAAAACCTATCTCTTCAGGGAAACCTATCCTGCCTTCAGCTAATAACCTCATCTTATACTTCTCTTATCAGTTCATCCCCCACATTTATTACCTGTTGTACCACCAGCCCCTCCCTCTTAGATTGTAAGCTTCAAGGAGCAGGGCCCTCCTAACCCTGACCGAGTTTCCATATGGTCAGTCCGCCCCTGGTCTGAACTGAGTCATGTGTCATCAACCTCTAATTAGTCTTAACTGGACTTACAGTTCCAGCCATCAGTAGGCTGATATATTTATTTATTTTATTTATTTTATTATTTCTAATTAAACTGATTATACAAAATTGTTGGATGCAGACTTTCATCTAGGATTCTGGGTTGTGATGGTCCAAGGATGTCCAAGGGCTTCATTCCCAAAAGGTTGATTACAGGCTCAAGGGGAAAATCGGAGTGTCCAGTGGAAAAGAAAAGAGAGAATCGAGGGAATCCTTATATAGTAGGTGACTCAAATAGAATGAATACCTCAAAGTAGTTTTTCATTGAAAATTGGCCTATGCCTGTTTAGATTTTGGGGATACTGTAGGGTAGAAATGCGCAACCTTCCATGAGCGCAGGTGGAGAATACTTTGTCTTCGTGCATGGATGAAAAGGTTGCTCTCACTGACAAAGTGGGGCCCAATCCTGAATCCTCTGTAGGGTTTTCAGGTGGGTGCTGAATCAAGCAAGTAAGAAGGCATCTAAAAAAATTTATAAAAAGTAATCTTATCAGCAGAGGCAGCAGTTAACATATGTTTATGTAAAAATTGGAGTCATCTGGTTAGCCAAACATCAAATCACTTTATTACACCAAAAAACAATTTGCAATAAAGCAATTTGAGGTTTGACTAACCAAGATGACTCCGATCTATTCTTAAACATATGCCAACAGGAATACTGAGCTATACACCAATATTAGTCTACTGCATCGCAGCTCAAGTGGAACATCCAGAAAAAAATTAAGAGACTTAAGGTATGATTTAAGTCTTTAAGTAATTTTTTACTTAGTGTTTTTTTTTATGAATTTCAATTTTGAGGGATATTATCTAATGCTTTCAGGTGTCATATTCTAGAAATGTGTCTGTGGGCGAAAACAATACAGTAAGCTAATCACTTGTCAAAATATGCCAACAACACGCACTCATCTTCTTACTTTAAAAGGATGTATACTTTGACAATATTTCAGCCCACCCAGCGTTACTTGTGGTCTGGATCTTTTCCCAATATAACAATGCTGCTTTCAAAGTTTTGCCTCAGGCCGACTAATATTTTTGCTTGAATAAAGCAAATGCCCAGTCCAGCCTACAGGAGGTCTGTCACTACAGACATGTCCTCAGGGGCAAAACTGGTTCACTTTTCCAATTCTCTTTGTCAATGTGATCATAGGAAGCAGATTTTTTTTTCTAAACATGTAAACTATCCCTGTTCAAAGCATTCAAATGAAATAAGGCTATGCATAAATCACAGAAAATCCAGGCTTGATCTCCCCACGATAGTGGTCTGATTGCCAAATTTGGGGTCTTTTTGCCTTGTTTATGGAGATATAGTCTTCATTAAAAGAAAAACCAGTATAATGATGCCCAACACTTGCCATTAAAATATCAAAATACATCTCTATTAACAAAGTAGCTACATCACAGAGAAGGCAAATGGTGGTGACCATTGTTTTTAAAATAGCAGCATCTGAACCATAAAAGGCAAGGCGTCCTCTATTTAAAAAAAAATTATGACATATATGTAGGAGAATTCAACACAGTGGAAACTACTTTAAACATATGACTACCTAACGTTAATATTTCACTTATGGTTGCATCACCAACAAGCTTCTTAGATAAATCTCGGACTCTTTTGGTGAGTGTCTTCCTCTTTTGGTGAGTGTCCAGAAATACCATATATGCCTTTCACCACCACCAGGGGAATCTAACTCCTCCTGCTGTTATCTGAAAATATAAAAATTGGACAAAACATTGATGTAACGCCACTCCAGGTGCCCATGCATCTATGCCCCCAACTCATTTCACCCCAGTGTAGGCAATCAACACCAACAAACCTGAGAACTCCATACCACGCTTTGATGTGAAATGACATTTAGTGGTAGATTTACTAAAACTAGAGCACTCAGAATCTGGTGCAGCTGTGCATAGTAACCAATCAATTTCTAACTTCAGCTTGGCCATAATGCCTGGAAGCTGATTGGTTTCTATGCAGAGTTGCACCAGATTTGGCACTCTCCAATTTTAGGAAATAAACCCCATAGTCAATAACATTTTACACAGGATTGTAGCCTGGTGTGTGGCTCTCAGGTTTATTAGCGTATATATAAATATTGGACACTGAGGGGTTTATTTACTAAAGCTGGAGAGTCCAAAATCAGACTCCCTTCTGCATAGAAACCAATCAGCTTCTAACCTCAGCTTGTTCAATGAAGCTTTGGCAATGAAACCTGGAAGCTGATTGGTTTCTATGCAGAAGTGAGTCTGATTTTGGACTCTCCAGCTTTAGTAAATAAACCCCTGAGGGGTTTATTTACTAAAGCTGGAGAGTCCAAAATCAGACTCCCTTCTGCATAGAAACCAATCAGATTCTAACCTCAGCTTGTTCAATGAAGCTTTGGCAATGAAACCTGGAAGCTGATTGGTTTCTATGCAAAGTGAGTCTTATTTTGGTCTCCAGCTTTAGTAAATAAGCCCCTGAGTGTCTAGAAAGAGGTCTCCTGCTTTATGAGTTTAATGAGTGAGTGCAACTATGTAAACTAACTCCTATGTAAAAATATAGATATTAGAGTTCAACAGAGATACCACAACTTGCTGGCTCATTTAATCTGCCAACGTTTATCAAATACTGATGTAGAGCACCCCTAAAGAGCCACTGGTGAACTGATGTTTTTTTCACCGACAATTAGTGAGCACATAGCCATAGCATTTTCTCCACTTCCACTGGCTCGAATAGAACAGTCTGGGGGGGCCTTTTTTGATGCTTTAATGGAAAGTTGAACTTGGATGGGATAAAGGGAGCATGTGATACCCCAAAATTGGTGAGCTGAACTCGTTGAGGACTCCTCTCTTTCTATGCTGCACAAAACGTCCCACACGACTCTCTCTGCTGCTAACAGGTGACTATGTCTTCTTTCCCTAGAACTAAGAGCTACACACAGTCACTTAGACCCTGCACTCAGGTTGTTTATTAACAATGCCATAGGATTATCTGTTGCTCCTTCTGATATCCACTGGACACTCTTCATTGAGAGGGACACAGACTCACACCAGCATAGGACTTCTGGACTCTCTTCCCCCATCTTCCTCCTGGTGCTCTCCAGTGAACGGCTCCAGACTCCAGGACCAGACTTTGCAAATAGGCCCCCTAGCTGTAGCCCCGGCTGGGATCTCAGGGTTTTCTATATAGCACCTTCAGCGATCCTGCCCCAGGGGTCTCTTCTTGAAAGACTGGACCAAGGAACTCCTCCCCTCTTCCCCAGTCCTCAGGCTATTTATGGGCTCTCCAGTCACATACTGGGCACACCTCTCTGGGGATTGGCTGGATCAATAAATATCCAGGCTGCCTACTCTGTTCTTCCATCCACTATAATTCTAGAATCCTCCAGAATACTGGGGGAAGTAATCAAAGCAGCAGCCAGTGAGACACTGAGCAGGCCAGAACAATCAACCCCTGCTCCATTGATTACAGAGGAGCTATACTCAATTTTCTTACCGGTCTGCACTAGGAGGGTGACAGACATATTAATTAGGATGGAATGAAGACATATTAACATTTATGTACATACAACCCGTTGAAGGGTCTTTTATTATACCTACACTAAGGAACACCAAAGAGGTTC